AACAGCAACCTGGCCGAAAATATTGAAACCTAATTAACTCTACATATTAGGAAATAGTAAGGGAAAAGCGAGAATAGGGCCAAAATGATTGAACTCACCCTCTTATTATTTAACCAGCGCGCTCCGCGCACTGGATTGAATGCGCCAAAGGCGCATTTAACACGGAGCCTAGAAAATATTACTTACAAAAAGAGGTTCTTGAAAAGTATGCAGATAAAAATTGGACTTATCAGTGATTGCCTATCTTTCAACATACACAGAATTCATATTCCGTATAATTTCTAATCCCCTATATATCTTTTAATCCCTCTAAATCTTTTATTCATCTAAATGTTTTAATTTCTATATCTTTTAAACACTTTATCTTTTAATCCCTCTAAATATTTTAATTCCTTTAAATCTTTTAATCCCTCTATCTTTTAATTCCTCTAGATCCGCCTGATCGCTCTAGATCAACCTAATCCCTTTAAATCATCTTATCCCTCTGAATCTTTTTTTAATCTTTTAATCCCCCTAAAATCCATATAATCTCTATAAAGCTATCTAGTCCGCTCAAATCTCTTAATCCCTCTAAATCCACCTAATACGCCTGAATCTTTTTTTAATAATTTAATCCACCTAATCCCTCTACAACTTTTGATCACCTAAAATCTTTAATCCATCTAAATCCACATAATCCCTCTAAATCTTTTTGTCCCTCAAATCTTTTAATCCCTTAAATCTTTTAATCCCTATGAATCTTTTAATCCCACTAAATCCATCTAATCCTTCTATATAGCTTCAAAGCACGACCTCTATAATCATTTATTCGCTTAAACTCGAATTTCTAATATCACTCCAACTTGAAGATATCGCACTTAATCACGCAATATTCCTTTTAATCCATAAAATGCCCTCCAAACACTAAAAAATTTTTAAAAATACATTTTAATCATAAAACTGATTTAAATAATTTTTTTCATAAAGAAAAAAATATTTGGAGCATTTTGGATTCGAACCCTCGACCCCACCACCAAAACCTAACACACTAACCACTATACCACCAAACATCTATTGTATTTTCTCTTTTATTTCATTATGTAAATACAATTTCCGACAAATTTCGACTTTTCGACCTTAAAAGTCGAAATTTCAAAAATCGGAAAACACTATCCGATCGGAAATACATTTTTACATAGGTATACCAATTTTCAGCTTTTTAAATTAAAACAAAAAAAAGTTTTGGACAAAATTCGAAATTTTCGCTTGTTTTTCTCTTATATAGAGAATGGCATCATTGTTATTAGAGCTTGAACTTTTCACTTTGCCGGGCCCGGTATCCGGGTTTTATTCTCTACTTATTTAGTTTCCCTCCCCCATTCAATTTTTTCGGTAAATATTTAAAAAATGGTCAGTCTGTCAGAGGTTGTAGAACTCGTCGAGCTGTGTCGAATGATACCAAAATTAAAAAATCCGACCTGATTTGACCGAGATACAGACCCCTGAAAAATGAAAAATCATATGGTGATTTTTTGAAATAAAAAAAGTTTATAAAATGATAACTCTTTCGAAAGAGCTCGTCGAGCAGATTCGAATGACACCAAAATCAACATGATTGGATATGGTTTGACAAAATTATGACATTTAGTATACCTATCGGACTCAGGTCGGATTTTTTTGATTTTGGTGTCATTCGACACAGCTCGACGAGTTATACAACCTCTGACAGACTGACCATTTTTTAAATATTTACCGAAAAAATTGAATGGGGGAGGGAAACTAATAAGTACTGTTTTATTCTCCCAAGTTGACGCGGGCCGGGTTTTCCGGGCTAAAACCTCGAAATCCCGGAAATTTCGAAAACCCGGGTTTTTTACAACCGGGCCCGGACCCGGTTTTTTCAAAATTTTAAAAATGTCAAATTTTAGATTTTCGCCGAAATTCTTTTATTTTGAATAAAAATAATTAAAATTTGGTGTCATATTTTTTATTCAACGGATTTAGCGATATAATAAGGATTTAAGTGGATTTAACTGATTAAGGGAAATATTGGTCGATTAAGCAGGATCTGGAAAGATTAATAGGGAGTTACAGGGATTAGATAGTCCCCGATATACTTCTAACTACTCGTAATCCCTCTCTATAATTATCTAATCTGAAGATCTGGTGGTGTTAATGCGGATTTGGAGGATTAAGGTGGATATCGGGAACTATACAAAATTATTTTCAGGAAAAAATAATTTTTAAGGTTCTCCCCAATTCTACACCATTAGCGATTAAGAGGCGTATCGGTAACTAATAGCGATGATGAAAAGGAGGAACATAATTATTTCAATCCTTTTCAATATCGAGATGTTGAAACAAGCGGGACAGGAACTAGTGGCCATGGAGGAACTGGAACTCGAAGCATACCTTCAAGTACTGGAGGATACTCTCAAGGAATGTATTCTGGCACAGAACATTCTCAAAATTTGTTTGATTTGAATCGAGGTTTTGGCAATAATCCGTATTTAAACTCAACTCAACACCTACAAGCGAATCCGTCTGGTCAAGTACCTCGAAATTTGTGGGATTTACAATTAGGATATGGCAATTATCCATATCAACATCAGCATTTTAATCCTTCTGGTCAAGATACTTCTCAAAATCGGTTAAATTTGGATTTAACACTTGGCAGTAATCAGTCTTTTTACTCAACTCAACATCAACATATGAGTGCAGAATACCCTCAAAGAACGAATCCTTCTGGTCATGAATCTGTTCAAGATTGGTTAAATTTGGATTTAACTCCTGGAAGTGATCAGTCTTTATATCGAACTCAGCATCAACATATGATTGGTCAATACCCTCAAGGAACTAATCCATCAGATCAAACAGGTAAAAAGGGAAAGTAATAAAAAATGATGAATAATAAATTAAGTTATTTTTACAAATTTAAGATGGAAAATTCTCTTTTGTTAAAAATAAAAGAGGAGGACGTAATTTAAAATATGATGGTTATGAATATAAACATAATAGTCATAATGATAAAAAGGAGACTATCAGGTGGGTGTGCAATACATACTCTAATTCTAGATGTGCGGGAAAAGTAGTTACAAAAGGAGTTAAATTTGAAAAATTAAAAGAATTAAACGATGATCAATTAAAAGAATTGAAGTTTGATATTGCATTCAAATCTGAACACACTTGCTTAAACAAAAGAAGAATTATAACTGGTAATATTTTAAAATTTCCAACAATGAGCTTTGTTTTCTAAATTAGAAAAATTTAAATCAAAATAAATTTGAATAACTTTCTTTTTAAAATCGGATTTCGGACTTAATGTCTGCCTTCATATTTTCATATTGGGCCAGTTATATGTAGAAATTTAAACCTGGAGCCAGTAATTTGGAGTAGTAAGTGTGACAGGGGAATTTATTACGAAGGGGAATCATTTTTAAATATGTTAGTTAATTATTGCTTTTAAGAAGTGCCTTATATTATAAAAACGAAAAAAGGGAATGATAAATTAGTTTGGAAAGGTTATGAATATAATGAAGAAAGAAAAGGTAAAAATGAATATATTTATTGGGTATGTAATAAAAGAAACTGTGGAGGGCGAGTTATATCTGATGGAAATAACTACATACTAACAAAAAAACATAAGCAACAATACCATAATGAGGGAGAAGGTAAATATTATTGTAAATTTATAAAATTATATAGAAATTTATCTAAATCGCACTGACTGGTATTAGTGTTAATTGTAAATTAGTTAAATAACAAATATATATCCTATGATAAAATTTATTTAATAGTTGAATTTCATTTATTTCCTATAATCAGCAAATAATAATAATAATCAGCCTGTAGAAATATTTTATGTTTAAAATTTAAAAACTAGGATTTGTTCCTCGAGAAATGCAACAAGCTATACAGTCAGGCGAAGAATATCAAAGAGGTCAAGAGGGAGCACAAGGAGGAGGTATACACATATGAAATATTTTTAATTTTAATTAATTAGAATATCTATACGAGAAAAATATACCTGTAAGCCCCTGATTCAAAATTAGATACTTACATTATATTTAAGTCTCGACCTCGATTTTATTATATTAAGAAATAAATATCTTAATATGAATTTGTATATATGGTTGTATTTTTTTCATTTTGTATAAGCAGTAGAGGTCGGCGCGGGACGGGATCCCGCGCGGGATTTTGCGGGATCCCGTCCCGCAATCCCGCACTTTTTTCGATTTGCGGGATTTTGCGGGAGTGCGGGATTTTGCGGGATTTATCCCGCGGGATCCCGTCCCGCAAAGATTTTTAAAAAATTTTATCCCGCGGGATCCCGCAAAATATTTTGAATTTTGCGGGATTTTTGAAAAATAGAGGATTTTGGCTCCTAACCTTCTAAATTCAAAAAATTTTCGCCTACGGCGCTAGAAAAAGGAGAATTTTGAGTCGCTGGCCTTCTAAAATTTCGAAATTTTTGCCTGCGGCGCTGAAAAATTTAGGAAATTGGATACTTGGCCTTCCAAAATTTTCGCCTGCCGCACATGAAATCATCTCTATTTCATCAAAACAAAATTGCCCAAATTGTTTTATCACGATGATTGATCCCATTTGTTTCAGCTCAAGCTATTTTTTGTTTCGGCTCAAGGGCAATCCCGGAGAATAGGGGTTTCTTCGAAAAAAAAGTTTAAAAATAAGAAAAAGGGTTTTTCTAGGGTAAAAAAATATGCTGATTACGAATCTGAACTCGGATTTTGAAAAAGTCGAATCCCGAACCCGAATTCGGACATTCGACATTTTGGGAAAATTTTCTCAGAGCGCAAATTGGTCAAATAATAGCTCATTCGAAAGAGCTCGACGAGCTGAGTCGAATGACACCAAAATTACCGTGAATGAACAAGAACAGACAAAGTTACAACACAAAAAACATAGGTTTACGTTGTTTGATTTTGGTATCATAACTTCGCCAGATCTTTTTCAATCACGGTGATTTTGGTGTCATTCGACTCAGCTCGTCGAGCTCTTTTGAATGAGCTATTATTTGCATATTCGAATTTTTCACCCCAGAATCAGCTTGGTCCCCCCTATGGTTTTTCGATTTTGTAGGACCTATATTCGGGTCCGGGTACGACTTTTTCAAAATCCGAGCTCAGATTCGTAATCAGCACATTTTTTTACTTTAGAAAAATCCTTTCTCTTATTTTTAAACTTTTTTTCGAAGAAACCCCTATTCTCCGGGATTGCCGGCTCAAGCACAATTCCGACGAATATGTATGAGCTTGCCCCTTATGATTTTTTGATAATTGGGGACCTGGGATAAGTGATTATACCTTTGTACCAACTCATACTCGTAAATTGGTACGAAGTACAATACGTGTACGAGCAACGAGTACGAGTAAGGAACCCGTTAATGATTAAGAAATCGTTTTTTTTCAATAGATATTGATAATTTTAAAGATTTTTGGAAAATCCCGCAATCCCGCGCGGGATCCCGCAAATTTAAAATGCGGGATTTTGCGGGAATGCGGGATTTTGCGGGATTTATCCCGCGGGATCCCGTCCCGCAAAGATTTTTAAAAAAATTTTATCCCGCGGGATCCCGCAAATGCGATTTTGCCGACCTCTAATAAGCAGTAAATCTAAGTATTGCGGATCTGGATAGCAGAATCAGAAAAATGCCTGACATTTAGAAAATCTTTGAAGCGGATCCGTAAATCTAGAGATAGTATATCCAAAATCACAGGTTTTTGTTATTAACGGTTTTTGACTCGTGCTTTTCAATTTTTGCTGATCCTTGGTTTCTTTCCATTCTTATTTAGTCCCATCCATACACTTTATAGGAGTTTCCATTAACAAACTATCTCTGATGTTCAGAGAGGCCCATGTCTGGGTATATTTCTAGATATTATATATAAGTAATTATGAACAAAATAAGTACTAGGATTTGATCCTCGAGAAATACAAGCTATTAATCAGTCTGGCGAAGAATATCAAAGTAGACAAGAGGGGGCACGAGGACTGATAATCAGAGGTATGATATATAAAACAATTTTATTTTAATTAATTAGAATATCAACACGAGAGAAAAAATATTATTGTAAACCCCGGACTCGAGATTCAAAACCTATATTGTATTATAGTTCCGTTCCCACACACCTATCCTTTTCGAGTGACTATCCTTACTTTAAACTTATTTCGTTTTTGTACATTTTATTGGGCTCTCACTCAATTCCTAATCTCTCCAACCGGCACTATGAAGGGGTGTCTGACCGTAAGATCTGAGCGGCATGATTTTATATAAATTTAAATTCTAATAATTTAGAACCTGCCCAAGGACAAGAATCTGGGTCAAATCGAGGTAAAAAATATCTGTTTTTGACAATATATTTTAATACAAAATATATATAATTTAAAAAATAAATAAATTAAATAATAAATTTAGGAGGAAGTTCTCGTCAACGAGACAGACAACGCCAAGGAAACAATCTGGGACCTAAAGGTTTTTTATCGAAAATAAAAAAATAAGGTGATAAAAACTAAAATTTAATAATTTCAACAGATAAAGGAAAGGGAAAAGCTCTAGACTAACATGATAGAAACAGAATATTTGATGACTAGAAAATTTGAGAGATTAAAAAATTGAACTTCAACATAGCCGGAACGGGCCATTTGAGCGTTATCAACTTTGATCGGCTATAACTTGTATGATACAACTTGTATATGATACAAGTTGTATATCATATATCATTGAAAGCTCTCGAAAGCGATAGCTTTTTTCCAATTGGATGGATCAGTAGTATATACCAGAGTTTTAAAACATTTTTTAAAACAAATATTTTAAAACTCTGGTATAATTACTAATGAATAAACATTCTAAACATTCACTAAATAAAACTTATACCGGTGTTTTAAAATATTTTTTATAAAAATGTTTTAAAACTCTGGTATATACTACTTGGATCAAGTCTGATCGCTCTTTAAAAAATCACATGTCGATTAGTGTTAAATCTTTTTTCTTGCACGTTTCGAGTAGTAACTTTTTAACTGCAGATCATACTTGATCCACCAAATTGGGATAAAGATTCGGCTTATCGTGGGATTTCGAATTATATGATATTTATTCTATTTGAGTAAGTTTAAAAAAAGTTATAATCGATCAAATTAGGCTGACGCTCAAATTGCAACGCTCAAGGACACCAACCAAAACATTACGTACAGTAAAATCTCTATTAGAGCGATTTCTATACACTTTTCTTTGTGTATTTCGTAAAGTAGTACCTAATAAGTGGACAGACCCCTAATAGAATGACACATTGGAATGTGATTGAAAAATAGAATGACAATAATTTTATAGAGATTTTACGATATATGCTCGAATAATTGCTCACTCACAAATAACACACTATCTCGATTTATTACTCCCCTCATTGAGATGCTGAAACAATAAATACACGCCCAAATGCCTAATGCAGTTCAAGTTTCACTCACATAAACGAACTTTTCAATTAATTACCCCTTTTAGGGTATGATGAAACAATAAATATCCTAGGTAATTATTTGAGCATATATACAGTATCCTAAACAAATAGTATTTTCTATTATAGCTTTATTTATAAACTTTACACTTTTAATTTTAAAGCATTCTGATTGATTATTATTTTTGATTCTTTAATCAAATCACCCTACTCCAACTTATCTCTACACCCTTTCTTTTTATTATCACTTCTTTTTTTATCCCTTTCTACTGGTTTTTATTTTATTTTGGTTAGTATTTTTAGTATAAATTCAAAATGAATCTGTTTCTGATTTAAAAGATAAAATTAGAGTATGGCGCGACATTTGGAGATCTGACTTTTGTTGACACGAACATAGGGACACGAACATTAGAGAATGAGATATTATTTGTTTAATCGAATTTTTAGCCCAAAAAATGAGCTTGGTTTACTCTAATATTTTTCAATTTTGGAGGTCTATATCTCGGTCCAAAGATGAGGCCTGGGGTTGATTTTGGTGTCATTCGAAACAGCTCAACGAGTTCAATAAACTTTGACTGACTAACCATTTTTTAATACTTTTAGGAAGGAAAAAGGATGGGTGTACTAACCGAACTATTACCAAGCGGTTTTTAATCCGTGGTGGGATATGGACAAAACAAAAAAAAACAATAACCAAGACAGTCAGACACCGAAAATTTAAAAAGCATAGTGCAGACTATCCTCATTTTTAGATAAAAGTTTCAGGTACAATTATTGTTCATTCGAACGAGCTCGTCTTGCTGAGTCGAATGAAAACAAAATCAACTTGATTCTGTACTCTGAAACAAAATTATGACAAAATGAATCTTTTACTAGAAAAACCTTCTTTTACTTTGTGTTGCTGCGGAGGGTTATGCCGTCAGTTTAAGCAAGAAAATCGGTGAAAAGAATTAGGTTTATGTTATTAGTGTAAAACATGTGATCTTGAAATACGCGACCGTAGTTTTAAATAATTTTACCCATTTTTTATTTGTACTTAAATTTTAAAATTTTCAAGAAGCTTTTAATGAAGTTATGACAACAAAATCAGCTTGATTCTATAATTTTAAACAAAATTACGACAAACTGGATCTTTTACTAGAAAAACAATTTTTGTTGCTGCGTAGGAGTATGCCGTCAGTTTAAGCCAGAAAATCGGTGAAAAGAGTTAGGTTTATGTTACTGTAAATCGAGTGACCTTGAAATCCGCGACCGTAGTTTTTAAAAAATTTACCCATTTTTTATGTGTACTTAAATTTTAAAAATTTTCATTAAGCTTTTAATGAAGTTAGCCGAAGCAGTTGAACTTTTTGGACTTGAAGACCCTCTGAATTATTGGATTAATTTTTGCTTATAAAAGATTTGAAATAATTTTTCATCAAGGTAACAATAAAAATAAAGAGCGAATAAAAAGAGGCAAAAAATGAACTTGGGTATATTTTTTTATTTTAAAATTATATTGATGCATTTTGATCACCCGAAATGTAGAAACTTTTGCTTAAAATTTTAAAAACTATATTCTTCAACTCTATATACATTCAACTCTATATACATGTACGAACAAAGGGAGTGCAACTAGAAAAGTTTTCATTAAATTTGTTCCTTTTTTATTTTCTATTATATAATCTTGCTTTGATACCATTACATTTAAGCTGAATAAAGTTATGCCTAAAATAAACTGCCCTGATAATTTTTGTTACCCTGTATATTGTATTTCAAGGGTTGAAAATACCAGAATTTGTATTGAGTAAATGATATCTTTGGTTTTGAAACTTTTTTTTCAAAACTTCAATTAATATTTTTGCTTGAAAATTGTGTTGATATCTAAGCATTACCTGTATTTAAGATACAAATAATAAAAAAAACTCACTGTAGTATCTAGTAGTTCTAATTTTATCCTTCAAACCAGAAACAGATTCGTTTTGAATTTTACTAAAAATGCTGAACCGAAATAAAATAAAAACCAATAGGAAACGAAAAAACAGATGTGACAATAAATAGAAAGAGTATAAAGATAAACAGGAGTAGGGCGTGATCATTAAAGAATTAAAAATAAAAACTAATCAGAATGTTTTAAAATTAAAAATTTAAAGTTTTAAATAAAGCTATAATTGAAAATACTGTTGGTTTTGGATACTGTACATATATGCTCAAATAATACCATGGATAATTAATGTTTCAACATCTAGCAAAGAGATAATTAATTGAAAAGTATAATTATGTGAGTGATATTTGAACGTGCATTAGGCATTTGGGGCATTTAATTATTGTTTCAACATCTCGCTGAGGGGAGTAATTAATCGAGATAGTGTGTTATTTGTAAGATTATTCGAGCATATAACGTGAAATCTCTACAAGAATTCATTGTCTTCTTATTTTCCAATCACTTCCAGAAAACTAAGAATGATAATATTCTCCTAATAATAAAATAATCTCCTAATCCGCAGATATCTTTTTATTCAATAAAATCCATTATATCCTTAACTACTATAAATATCCCTCGAAATACCCTTAATCGTTTTAATTCACCGATATACTCAGATATCACCTAAATTCCTTGAATTCATTTGTTTTATTTACGAGATGCATTATATTTTTCAAATACCATCCGATGTGGCATTTTATTGGAGGGTGGCATTCAACTGGATGCATTCTAATAGAGATTTAATGTACGTATACATATGTTGATGTTTAAATTTTCAAAATTTCGAATTTTCTTGTCATCAAATACTGGTTTCCATTTTGTTAGTCTTGAGCTGGTCCCTTTCCTTTATCTGTTTAAATTATTAAAATTTAGTTTTTATCACCTTATTTTTAAATTTTTGTTAAAAAACCTTTGGGTCCCAGATTGCTCCCTTGACGTTGTCTGCCTCGTTGACGAGAACTTACTCCTAAATTTATTATTTTGTTGAATTTAGGAGTAATTGTAGTATTAAAATAATTTGTCAAAAACAGATATTCTTTTTACCTTGATTTGACCCAGATTCTTGTCCTTGGGCAGGTTCTAAATTATTAAAATTTATATTTATACAAATGGGAAAATTGACTCTTTATGGGACTGAACACATCTGAATATAATCATCTGTGGTTCAACCTTTGGTTAAATAATGGGGAAAATGGAGGTATGGAATATGAAATTACAAAGTATGTCTTGGGAAAGTTGGTGAATGGTTGGGATAATGTTGGGAAATAAATATTGAAAAGAGATGATTGTTTAATTTATTGGAATTTTTGTAAAGGATAAGTAATGGGAACGGAAATGAATTACCAATAAAATGTGCAAGAAAGAAATAATAATTGTAAAGGAAGGATAGTTACTAGAAAAAGATACATAAGTGAACTAAAAATAAATTGATTACGTGAAATAAGGCTGGGGTCGGGACTAGAATAGAATGTAAGTATCGAATCTCGAATCCGGTGTTTACAAGAACATTTTTTCTCTCGTATTTATATTCTCATTAATTAAAATTAAAAATATTTCAAATGTGTATACCTCCAATTATCACTCCACGTGTTCGACCGCGTCCTCTTTGATATTCTTCAGCAGACTGATCAATAGCTTGTTGTATTTCTCGGTCATCAAATCCTTGTTTTTAAAATTTAATCATAAAATAGTTCTACAACTAAATCACATTATTATTTACACATCGAAATCTATGTAAGCTAACATATAAAATAAATAGGGAAGGATTCGATAGAATAAATTTTTAATTTTCAATAAAAATACCTCCATGTTGTGTAAAAATACCTCCATGTTGTGTCTCTTGGTTTCCGTGCTGGTTGTGACGGATTGTATTATCTAAATTTAATAAAAAATAGTTCTGTGAATACTATTAAAATAAATTCATAATAAGATATTTGTTTTTTAGTTTACTAATCTGACTAATTCACAATTAAAACTAATAGAGGCAGTGCGTTTTCTATATAATTTTATAAATTTACAACAATATTACCTTCTCTCTCTCTATGGTATTCTTTTTCATGCTCTTGTGTTAATATGTACTTATTTCCTTCATTTATTACTCGCCCTTTACAAGATCTTTTACTACATACCCAATATATATTTCCATTTGGTTGTTTGCTTTCTTTGGTATATTCATAACCACCCAAAACTAATTTTGGTTTCCCCTGTTGCGTTTGTCCAAAAACAGGTTCTTCTTAAAAACAATAATTAACTAAAATATTCACCCAAAATATTCCCCTGAGTAATTATTATTTCAATGTCTCGATTAGGTGATAATCAATAGATACCATTTGATTATTTGAAGTTATGTTAGTAAAAATTATTATAATTGTTTTTTAACTGAAAAGCACTATTTGAAAAATCTACAACTTTTTAATACGTTCAGATTTTAATGGGATTTGATATTTTAAATTCATAATTTATAAGGTCTTATTGACATAAAAATTATGTCTAAATTCGGTGTTACGACAATTGGGATACGCATGTGCGGATGCGACGATTGCGGACAACAATTGCAGACGACGATTGCGGTTATGTCAATTGCGGATTAAAAATTTTTCGTAATTTTAAAAATGGTTGAAATGATATCACGTTTGTTTGTCCCGGCTTCAGTTTCAAACTTATGACGGTTTCCGAACCATTTTTAGAATATTGCGGCACTGAAAATTTTAAAAAATCAATAATTTTTAAAACTTTTTGTATTCGCAATTGTAGTCCGAGTTGTCGTACGGAATTGTCATATCCGTAATCGTCGTCCGCAATTGTTCCATCTTCAATCGTCGCATCCGCAATTGCCATCCGCAATTTCGTACAGCCCTCAATTCGAATCCTAATCCGAGATAATTCCGTACTCTACCGTTCTCTTTCAGCTTTTCATTGTATACTCAACGTGTGCATATGCTCAACATGTACTACTTACTTTTATTTGAAGGAGTGCCGGAAAATTGGGCTCTGGAAAATTGGGCTCCAAGATTTTTCGGAAAATTGGGCTCCAACTTTTCGGAAAATTGGGCCACAATACCCCGCGCCTAAAAAATTGGAGCCCAATTTTCCGTTTTTTTCACGTAGAGCCCAAATTTCCGCTGGAGCCCAATTTTCCGAAAATTTGGAGCCCAATTTTCCGAAAAATCTTGGAGCCCAATTTTCCAGAGCCCAATTTTCCGGACACCATTTGAAGCGACTGGCAATAGACAACTAGAGTCACATTACAAATTTTAAATTTTTTTCTACTCTAGTGTGTTAGCGCCACTTTCAGGAAAAAATGAAATAAGAATTCGCACAAAGAAAAGAGGGAGAAAAAATTTCAAACCTAAATTTCTAACTGGCCTAATCTGAAAACTGACATTAGATCCGAAGCCCGATGGAGAATGCAAAATATTAAAAAAAATTATTCAATTTTTAATTTAGAAAGCAAAGCTAATTTTTGGAATTTATAAAACATTACCATTTATAATTTTTCCTTTTTTTACACAAGTGTGCTTAGATTTAAATTCAATGCCAATCTTCAAATCGTTTAATTCATCATTTGTTAATTCTTTCAATATTTCAAATTTAATTCCTTTTGTAACAACTTTTCCTTTACATTCAGAACTACGGTTTTTATTGCACACCCAAGTGATAGTCTTCATTTTATCACTCTGACTATAATAGTTATAATTATAACCACCATAATTTAAAGTCCATCCTCTTTTCGTTTTAACAATAAAGGGGTTGTCATCTTAAATTTGTAAAAATTTTTTTTAGAAATCCTAAGATTCTACTTAAAGATATAGGACAAATTTGTCAAATAATTTCAGATTTCAGATCTTGGCTGCGTATCGAGTAAAGGAACTTTTTTCTTGTTTTTTATTACCTTCCCTGTCTTACCTTTTTGACCAGAAGAATTCATTTCAGGATTTAAACCCAAATTTAACCAATTTTGAGAAGATTCTTGACCAGAAGGATTCGTTCCTTGAGGGTATATTGCACCCGTATGTTGATGTTGAGTTGGGTATAAAGACTGATTAATGCCAAGAGTTAAATCCAAATTTAACAAATTTTGAGAAGGTTCTTGACCAGAAGGTTTAATATGGTGATGTTGATATGGATAATTGCCATATCCTAACTGCAACCAATTTTGAGGTACATGACCAGACGGATTCCCTTGTAGATGTTGAGGTGAGTTTAAAAATGGATTATTGCCAAAACCTCGATTCAAAGCCAACCAATTTTGAGAATGTTCTGTGCCAGAATACATTCCTTGAGAGTATCCTCCAGTACTTGAAGGTATGCTTCCAGTTCCAGTTCCTCCATGGCCACTATTTCCTGTCCCGCTTGTTTCACCATCTCGATATTGAAAACGATTAAAATAAGTTTGTTCATTTTCATCATCGCTATTAGTTGAATCAACAAGATTTGGCGTTAAAAATAAATAAAGAATTAAAAATATTGAAAGTTTCATTACTTTCTAGAATTATTTTAAAAATATTTGAAATAGTTAATTTAAAAATATATTTAAGTTTAAATCCCTAATTGACTTTAAATGCTAAACAAATGCTAAGCTTTTCTTATTTGCGTTAAATAGTAAGAGACTGATTTCATCAACTATTTTAGCCGGTTTATAAGGGTAATTTTAAAATGCTAAATAAGACGCAGTTATTCAACTTCCACCTTTTTTTATACCGAAACTTGATACGACAAAAAATTTTAAAATTCCGAATGAATTTTTCTTTAGTCGATAACATCGTTGTCCTAAAGACATTAACATGTCTATTGCTTAAGGAATCCGACTGAGGGCCCTGTTCGTTTTCTTTTACCGAGTTTTGTCTTTAGATTCATTATAAATCATAAAAATTTACAGCTAAAACAACAACTACCGAATAATTTCAAAATCTAGTCTGTAAAATATCCAACGATATTCCGTTAAATGTATCTTTATCGACATACAGGCTAAATCACATGAATCAAGTCTTGGCAGCTCCACGTAAACAAATTTTAGAGCAGAAAGGGTCGTAGTAAATGGAAGAGGGGAGTGAAAGATAAAAAGAGCTGCACTTACAGTAATGCCTGCCAAGACTTGATTCATGTGATTTTACTTGGATGATTGTCCTATCCTAAATAAAAGAGGGGAGTGAAAGATAAAAAGAGCCGGCCGGAGCCCCAATGAGACTGAAATTTTTTATTTGTATCCTAAATAAAGAAAATTTTTTTCAAACTACGGTCGCGTATTTCAAGGTTGTTTGGTTCTTCACAAGTAACATAAACCTAATTCATTTCACCGATTTTCTGGCTTAAACTGACGGCATACCCCTTCGCAGCAACACAAATTGTTTTTCTAGTAAAGGATTCAGTTTGTCGTAATTTTGTTCGGAATTATAGAATCAATTTTTCGTGCATATTTTGTCGCACCGTAATGATAAGTGATTACAACAATTTGCTGCGGAGTGGGAATTTTTAAATCAAATGCAAAATTTCAAATTAAATCTTACTGTTGGATCATAATGTACTCTATTTTATTCAGTTACATAGATTTTTCCTTAAAAATAAACTCAAATTAAACCAATTTTGTGAAGATTCTTGACCAGAAGGATTAATATTCTGATGCTGAGATGGATAATTGCCATAAACTAATTGCAAATCCCACTAATTTTGAGGTACTTGACCATTCGGATTCCCTTGAGGATGTTGAAGTGAGTTAAAAATGGATTATTGCCAAAACCTCTTCAAAGCTAACAAGTTTTGAAAATGTTCTGTGCCAGAATACATTCCATCAGAATATCCTGAGTACTTGGGGGTATGCTTCTATATGCTTCATGGCCACTAGTTCCTGTCCAGCTTGTTTCAACATTTCGAGGTTGAAAAGGATTGGCAGGCATTACTAAAGTGCAGCTCATTTTAACTTTCACTCCTCTCTTCCATTTACTACGACACTTTATGCTCTAAAATTTGTTTACGTGGAGCAGGGATAGGACAATCATCCAAGTAAAATCACATGAATCAAGTCTTGGCAGGCATTACTAAAGTGCAGCTCTTTTTATCTTTCACTCCCCTCTTCCATTTACTACGATCCTTTCTGCTCTAAAATTTGTTTGCGTAGAGCTGCCAAGACTTGATTCATGTGATTTTGCCTGTATGTCAAAAAGATACATTTGACGGAATATCGTTGGATATTTTACAGACTAGTTTTGAAATTATTCGGTAGTTGTTGTTTTAGCTGTAAATTTTTATGATTTATAATGAATCTAAAGACAAAACTCGGTAAAAGTTAAAGAACAGGGCCCTCAGTCGGATTCCTTAAGCAATAGACATGTTAATGTTATTAGGACAACGATGTTATCGGCTAAAGAAAAATTCATTCGGAATTTTAAAATTTTTTGTCGGATCAAGTTTCGGTTTAAAATAAAGTGGAAGTTGAATAACTTAATTGTTTGGGACTAAACTTTGATGAGCTTATAAATGTAACAGCCATAAATATTATTGCGAGATATGAGGAACCAACTTTATTTGTTAAGGTTTGCCAGAATATCTGGGAATTTATAAAGTTATAAAAACAAAGGTGTTTTATATGGATAAGTAAACCGATAAGTAAATCGGCAAATAGCTGTAGAATAAACATTTAAAAACAAAATTAGAAAATTCGAAGAATAACAAATTTAGTGAAATGTCCTCTTAATTCAATTTTTGTCAATGGAGTGGGGGGGGGGGGGAGAGTGAGCGAGAGAAAGCAGACTTATTCACTGCGATTTTCAGGCAAATTTTCATAAAAGACAATTTCTATCCTAGCCAAGAGACTTAAATCTTTTAAATTATTTCAAGGACAAATAAAAATAAATTTTTATTTAATAAAAAATATAATATTAAGTAATTATCAAAATTTAAAAAAATATTGTCAGTTTAAAAATTTTCTTTTTCCCTAACATTAAATTTCCCCAAATTCTGGCTAGTCGTATTAGGAGGAGCTGGTACAACCATCTGTGTAGTTATACAAACAGTAGCTGTATTTTTCTGTTTAATAAAAAGACGTAAATAAATTGCCGAACAAATAGCCGCATCCATTGAACAAAAAACTAGAGCAAATTCTCCAATATAAGCAGAAGAGGGGGTGCCGGTTATCTGTTCCGGGTAAATTTATTAAAATTTTAAAAAAGAAATTTTTGGTATTAATCGGTTATCTAGTTACATTTTGCTTTTCTTCTTTGTCATTCTTACTCACTTACAAAATGGTAAGAAGCAAATAATGCCAAGGATTGAGAAAAGCTATGTGTCGCTCTGAAGTATTTTGAAAAATGGGGACCCTCCCAGGGTTGGGTCTCCCGAAGGTCGAGAGACGCCCTGGGCGTCCGGTCTCCGAACTTAATGAAGAACGATTAAAACAAACTCTATTAACAAAGTTTTTGTTCAACACAAAATGGGAAGTTTTAGTTGGGAGGAGGAGATAAGATGAAACCTTGAGAGCTTTTTAAGTTAAAGAAAAGTTACTCGATAACAGCTGTTATATCTATAACAGGGTTAATATGCGATTCGAAATGTCGTTAGGGGGTAACGTTAGGGTGTACTTCCGGCAATTTTTATGCACTCGGATTTAAGAAAAGAGAAAGCCGACAGTGGAAGGCGAAGCATATCAAAAGACGAAGTTATTTCTCGTCTTCTTCGGCATAATTCCAGTATCTTTTGTGTACGCGAATTGGGAACAGATCCTGAAAATACTGCAGTTTGGAATAATTACCTTTGGGTTAATTACTTTTGACTATTTTGTATTTAAAAAAAGGCAAACAGAAAAAAAAAATTTCTTGGGATAACCGAATAGTACCAAAAAATTATTTGTTAAACTTACCACATTGAAGATAACAGCTGAATAGCCAGGAATAACATTAAAAAGAATTTCGAGAGTTATTGTGTATTTTACTACTCGATTTTTCTGAAAAATGGAATTTTTAGACCGATGAAAAAAATATTATTTTTCAAACCAAATTTTTTCCTTTCCCCGATTTTTCTAGAATATATAGAAACACTAGACAGAAGATAACGTTTAGTGTCCCAATGACCATTTTTGCTGATAATTGCAAAATGTTTCTGTATTTGAGCATTAGACAGGAGGCCAACTCGCATCTTGATACTGTTAAAAAAATTTTTTGTGAATATATTAGAGTATAAAAGATCGAAAAAAAGAATTTCCCAAGACCCTTAGGAAAGTTCCCCTAAGACGGCGAGAAAATAATTTTCTGAGACCATATTAGATCTGGTCTATTAGAGGGCAAATTAATTCGTGGGCTCTAGCAGTGCATAACAAGATTGTCAGTTCTAGAAGTCTAGAAAAATCCTCGGACATCCGGGACCTAACCAAAGAATCAATCAATCTACGGTTCAGTTCTGAATACACCTACTTTTAGGCAAGCCTCCATAAATTGAATATACTACTTAATGCAATACTATATAAAATGTATTTGTTTAGGACTACTCCAAATTAAGGCCCTTAATAGAGATAGGGAATAAGGTTTGTGTCCGGTTTTTATCAAAATACCACCGGATCCGGAAAACTATTCCGGAAACCCAAAATCTCTTTTAAATTTCTTTTTCAAAAATTAAAATCAAATTCAAATGTCCTCTCACCTTTATTTAAATTTAAAGGTAATTCAGCTATATAAATTCCCAAGGATGAGCTATAAATTAAACTAGCAATTATAACAGCCGAATAAAACAACAATTTATGTGTTTGATTATTTATAAGACGTAGAGCCAAACATCTGTCTATAATTAAATAAAGAACACAAAAAGGAGCAAGTGCCATATATGATAATTCTGGCAAGCCTGTCCAGAAAAGTAAATAGGGGTCGTAAGCTGAATTTGTTGCTGTAAAATTGAATATTTGTTAGAAGACAATGAAAATTGCTGGTTTGAGTTTTAGATGACAAATATGGGAAAATAAGGAACCTACACCTTCAGGATTAGGGATTGGCTAACTACACATCTACTACCTAAGTATGTCTTTCGAAGCATCTCATGGCCCTATATCAATTTGTCCGCAGATTCTAGAGCTTGTGCACAGACCGCTGTGCATAAACCACAGAAATTTTATCTCAATTATATTCTGTGTAGTCAGATTCTGTAATGAACGCAGATTCCGTGGAAATAACCATAAAATATCCCAAAGAATCTGCGGACAATCATATACGGCCTAGGACTAGGGATCGGCTCACTTCTCATCTGCCAACAAAGTTTGTCTTTCCCTTAGTTTTTTTATATTTTTTCTTTTCCTTCTGTCCTTAGGTCTCCGGATTTTTAAATTGATATACCTTCATTCTCCAAAGGTCTCCACCAAAAAACTTTGTAGATTAAATGAGGAATACCCAATATTGCACAAAATAAATGTACGCATAAATAAAATAACATTGAACGTGAAAAAGTTTTGACTTTGAGCAAGTCGACATTAAAATTGTAAATTAACAAAAGGATGGTCATGAG